GCAACCATTGTATCTTTGGATCTTTCCATTTCTGCCACAGAGTGAAGACATTTAGTATATATTAAGTGGGGACATACAGTGTTTGTCTTTCATAGTCTGGCTTACTTAACTTAGCATTAAATCTTCTATGTTCATCCATCTTGTATCAACAGGTCCTCATTGTTCCTCATGGCTGAGTAATATTCCATAGTATACATATGCCACATTTTTTTCAATCTAGTCATGAGTTTTGGGGCACTTAGATTGATTCTATGTTTTAGTAATTGTGAATAATGCTACAATAAACATGGATGTGCAAGTATCTTTCTGACTGAGTGTTTCTTGGGTTAATACCAAAGACTGGGATTTCTGGGTCATACGGAATTCTATTTGTAGGTTTTTGAGAAACCTCCATATTGTTTTCCATTGTGGTTGTACAAACTGGCACTCGCATCATCAGTGTAGGAGGCTTCCCTTTTCTCCATAGCCTTGCTAGCACATGTCATTCTTCATTTATTTGATCTAAACCATTAAGTCAGCTTTTCATATCCATGCTTATTTTTCCATCAAGATATTCTATTTTCTCTCTTATGTATAAGAGGTCTGTATATATCAAAAATATAAACCTTTTATTTCTCATATATTTAAATTGATTTTATACTTTAGTTGACATTTAATTGTATTTTACTTAATCTGTAGTTTTTATTTATTTATTTTTGTTAGAGAGAGATTTTTGCTATAGAGCCCATGCGCTCCCTGGAGAGACAGAGAGACAGAAAGTGAGAAATCACCCCCTAGGGGGAAGGGCCAGGCCGCAATCCCTTCTTCAGTTTCCTCTCAGGATTTTGGGCATACACGCACATGCACCTGGTGTGTTTTAAGCTGCCAAATCTGGGATTCAAACAACAGTCAACTATGTGGGAGTCTAGTAATGTAACCGTTATATCATCTACTGGTCCCTGTTTTGTTTAATTTATAGATGTTTTTAATCTTTCTGTTGTCATATTCCTTATAGTTACTTCATCAATTCTGCTTTTGAATGTTATGTGTCTACTATCCTGAGATAACTATACCTTATTTTAAAATATTTAATTCAAATGGAATAAAATGAATTCATGTAGAATTTCTTTTGGCATGTGGTAAAAATGATGGGCTTTTTTATTGAGTTACTACGGTATTATTTTATTAAAAACTTTCTCCCTTGTGAATTATTATTATTATTATTATTTTAGATTTTTGTTTGCCATACGGCAGAGAGAGAAAGTGAGAGATCGTCTCCTAGAGGGGATGGCCACACTGCAATCTGTTCTTGTCCACTCTTCTCTCAGGATTTTGGGCACGCACTCACATGTGCCTTGTGTGTTTTTAAGACCTCCAGGTCGGGGACTTGAGTCAGCCATATGGGATCCAGTGTCTTAACCACTATGCCACTTGCTCACTCAAGAATTATTATTTTTAAAAGTTTACTTATTTTCTGAGAGAAAAACTCTCTCAAGGGGGTCTCCACAATGGGACTTTGCCCCAAGCCCTGCAGCCAGCTGAGAACATGGGTGTCAGGTGGGCCTGGGACCTGAACCTGGAGCCTTCGCAGATAGCTTCTAGCATTATTCAGCAAGGCCCTTACTGCCTATCCACTGTAATTGAGCAAGAATTACTTTTAAAATTTGTATCATGTTATTACTTAAAATGTATTTAGATTCTCTTTTCAGTGCTTGAAATTTGTCATTTTAAATTAGTCCCTCCCCATTTCTTCAGTTTTTTGTTTTTATTCTTTTCTTGTTCAATTAGCATAGGCCTTCTAATATTTTTAGCCTTAGAATGTGAATGATAGTCCTTTTGAAACTTCAGAAATCTGAGACCACAATTCTTAATTTTTTAATTTAACTTTATTTATTTTTATTCTGACTAGAGAGGGACAGAGAAAGAGAGAGAGAGAGAGAGAGGAAGCGAGCCACCTGGTCTGGGACTTGAACCACGGTCGGCCACGTGGGAGTCCATGCCCCTAACCACCATGCCACTTGCCAGCCCTAAACAATTCTTAGTTTATTTTCATACATGGAAACTGAATTATTGGATCACAATTTCACTTTTTTTTTTTTTTGTCTTTTTCTTCTTAAAGCTTTCATAGACATTATTTCTCTAATTTCTGTCATTTAGGACTCTGAAAAAGAAATAAAGACAATCTTACTTTCATTTCTTCAAAAGAATCTGTTTGATTATTTGTTTTATTGGAACTTGGCAGTATTTTTTTCCTTATATATAACATTTTAAAAATTCATAGTAATAAGTCTACACAGTGGTCTTTTTTGATTAATTTTGCCTGTAAGCCATTTTAATTATCTGGCTTGATTATTTTTAATTCAGTGAAAAATGGTATCATATCTTTCATTATTTTACGTGTTCCACATAGTCTGGTTGTATTTTGTGAAGTGTTCTTCATTTTCTATCCTTGGTAGCTGTCGTCCTTCCTCCCGACACCCTTCCCTATTAAACATCTTCTCTTTCAGATTTCAGTTTTCATTGTCCTTTGTCTTTGCCCTCTGAGATAGCTTCTCGAATTTGTCCTCTGTGTTTACTGAATAATTTTTCTGTTATGTCAGTTCTCTGTTTTGCCCTAACTAAGCAGTAAGTCGATTACATTTTTATTCTTTACAGTTTTTTTTCTTCTTTCAATCTGCAGCTTTATCGTATCAGTTTACATTTTAGAGAGCATGTAAGTAACCTTTTAAATCTCACTTTCTAGTTCTTATTTTAGGTTTTATTGAGAACATGAAGCAAATGATTTCCAAAGGTTTCTTCTGTAGTAAAGATTTTTCAAAAGTATGATTTTTCTCATTTAAAGAGCCATTCTCTCTTCTTCTACATATAGCATCTTTTCATAAGTTTTAAAAATTATTTATTTATTTATTTATTTTTGCCTGTTTGTTGTTAATTCAGATATCCCTAAATGAGACTGCAGTCTGGCATTGTGCTCATCAGACCACAGTCCTTAAGACCCCTGGGCAGCCCCGCACCCCCATGGGACGAAACATTTCCTGTTTTACAGGACACCCAGAAGAGAAGCTGAGCCATAAGGCCCTTGAAAAAAAATTCTCAAATTTTGAAATTTGAGTTAAAAAAATATGTTATGCTAATATATATGTAGTATTATAATGTATATGAATGTATTATATACATACTAATTTGAAGGTTTTGATACCAGACCCAAAAACTATCTCTTGCTCTTGTGTCTTGATGTCATGATTGTCAGAAAGTGCATCTATCCCTGGGTATTTCTGACCACCCTGGATTTCTGCTGCTGTCAGGAATGGTGTGTAACAAATGTCACCTCAAACCTGAGACAGCCGGACTTACCTGGCTCACCAGGCTGTCCTGGTATCTGCAACCCCTTTCTTGTTCCAGGGCACAATGACTGATTCCCTTTTCCCATTCTCGTCTGTTCCTTCAGTGTTTATAATATAACACAGTGTAATATAATATAAAATATGGTATCATGTAGTCCCATCGCGGTGTAATCTCAAGGGGCTGTGGAAAAAAGGCAATGGATGAACATCTGGGCCAGCCACACTGAAACAGCTCTTCAGGCTTCAGGAAGCAGATCCCTTCCTGGGAGGGAAAAGCTACCTGATTTTCTGGTTGGGGCAGGCTCTCTATTTACAGGTGAAAAAAAGCAGGCAGACAGTGGGAGGAGAGTGAAAGTTTGTCTCGTTTTTTCTCCCCCTGGACCTGCTCCATTTCCAACTCTAAATTTGCATGGGCTGCTGGTAATTCCTCTGCATGCTTCCATGTTCGCCTTTGTTAATAATATTGCTTCCCCGAACCCAGACGATTTCCTGCAGCAGCTCCTCGGTTGCCATCAAAATGTGTGCTTGTCATTTTGTGTAGACTTGTGTTTATTTGTAAGAATGCAAATAGTCTGGTAGAGGAAAAGTCGGGCACTGCTTACTCTCTACTGTCTTATACTGAAAG